CCTTAGAAGCTAGCTAAAAAACAGGTGTTACATGTGCCGAGCTGATTCAAAATCCATCAACAACCTAATCTTTCACTTTCCAAAGGCTACAGATTTCTGGAACATGTTCCCCAGTTTGGTTTGAAGTGGACTATGCCTTTCACTGTCAGAGACGCCTATGTGAGCTGGAACACAAAAGAAAGTTGACAAAACCATCAGGATAATGTGGAAAATGGTACCTGCAAGCATTTTCTGGTGCATTTGGAATTTTGGACTGAAAGAATCCACACATGTTTTGATGGGTTATCAACTTCAAGCTGCTCCCTGAAGTCTAGATGTTTGGTTAATCTTTTTGGTTGGGCTAGATTTTCGCCTGTTAATAACTCTGGCTTGTTTTTGGATTACATCAGCTCTCTAGTTTGTTAGACTTCAACTATAGATGAGCTGATCAACTCTTCCGCCTGTAATTTCATTGCTACTGCTTGATATCTTTATGATATCGTACTCTTCTTCATTTTTTGAAACTGGTAATGTTACCTTTAGGATATCCTACTTACTTCATCAAAAAATTCCCTTTTACTTCTCTCTCCACTGTAGGCACCAGTCTTGGCAGATATCATAAGGTTCAAGCCTAGTTAAACAGAAAATATAGTCTAGACAATGCAAATGCAAGCTCACCCATATGCTTAAAGACCATTATCCACAAATGTTTCTCGTTCAACAACAGACCCAGTGTAACCCACAGATGGGGTCCAGAGAGGTAGAGTGTACCCAGACCTTACCCATACCTTTGAGAAGGTAGAGAGATTGTTTCTGGAAGGACCTCGGTGAACAAACAGTGTAAAAAGGCAATAGCAACAAGCATTTTGGCCATGGGTAATGGAATTTCTTGTCTTATATTTGAGGATTACGTGGAAACAACCAGAACTAATAATTTTGCATCACAAACATTCCGCTTGTTTAACAACATTGGTTTTGCAGAAGGATAGCAATCTGCCTACCTAACATCAATTGGCTTACTAATTTATCGGGAACTTGAACTCAAGTACTCAACTGTTTTTTATGTAACCAAAATAAACAATGCTAGTAGACTATCTATAGGTATTTCCATCTGTGAGTATTCAACTCATTAATAATCTTAGCTTCAAAGTCATATCTGCATATAAGCCCTTAACTTCAGATTCACAGCAATCATCCTAAATTTTTTCTACATAAAACATTATAAATATCACATTCTCAATTCACATTAAGCAAAAAATATAATTCCAAGACAAAGTAAACATTTTTTCCCCAAATCATGAAATCATAAAGCTTGAACAGAAGATGTACAGGTAAAAGTACTTGAGTTTGGAGAAACTTACCCATTTCGTCCAATTCAATAACAAGAGGATCTACACCAAGTCTCTTGAACAAAACTTTCACCTCAGTTGAGTACCTTTTGTAACAAATTTAAAGAACACTTCAAAATTCACTCAGAAATTAGACAATTAGTCATCGAATTCCAATTTCATACGAGATATTAATTTTACAACTTACGAACACCAACTCTTGGAGTAGACAACTACTGGGTTTTCCGTAATAGTCTTTTTCACGCTCTCCTCCAATCGGGACCCGAATGAACCCGACATCGCTCGAATCTGCACCCGGCCGATTTTTCGGGGACCATCGTTTTCGATTCTGGACCCAAATCTGTGTAATCTGACACTTGGAACACTGTAATTGGAATTGGGAATGCGCTGTAAGTGCCGGCCAATTTGAGTTCCATTTTGAGGGTGAAAGGATTGAGGAATAGAAAAGGTAGTGAAGTTTTTAGTCAAACTCATAGTGGCAGCCATTTTTATTTTTTGGAGAAGCTTTGTTCAGTTCAGTTCAGTTCAGTTGTTGAGATTTTCTTTTCTTTTGTATTGTTGATAAATTCACGTGATTCAGTTTTTTAATTCAGCTAAAGATAATAATCAAATTAAGAACTCTATAAAATACGGAAATTTGATACTAGTAAATTGGACATTTTTTTATTCAAAATTTGGAGAGAAAAATGTCGTTCTCAATTTTATTTTTTATTTTTAATTTAATTTTATTTCGTTTCTTGTTCACACTCATATTAGAGTTGATTAGATTTGAATTCACACCAAAAAAATTCTATATCCACGATAAACACTATTTTAAAAAAGCAATTTCAAATCAAAGACCTCTTATTTGAAAAAGAAAAAATACTTAACCTTCCACTACAACCCTTGGTAGTTCCTCAAGTATTTGTTACATAAATAAATTAATTATAACAAATATTTAGATCTTGTTCAATTATATACATCATTTCTAATTGGAACAAACCTAAGGTTTTACAATAATTATGTTTAATTGATATAATGAAAAAAATGATATATTTTAAATACTTATCGTATCTCCATTTTGGCAATCCAAAGACACCTGCAAAATAAATTCTAAATTTTAATTTGAAAATATGTAATAAAAATATTTTATCGATGGGAGTTGTCAAGCATAATTTCAAATGAATATGTTGTACTCTTTGTAGTTACCTATAACTAAAGTTTAAACATTTACATCCAGATAATAAAAATGACAGAACTTCAATAATAATATATGTGTGAAGTTAAGGCCCAAAAATGAGAAGTCAGTGGGCTTCAGTGACAGATGAATTAGAGGCCTAGTTAGTATATAGGCCTCAAGTTGAATAAGAGAGTTTTCCAAAATTGTCAAAATTTTATGGGACTGCCATTTCAAACGTAGCCATTTACTTTGTATGGCGTCTAAAGTTATCTACGAGTGAAGTTCATGTATTTATATCATAAGTTCTTGCAAAATAATAGGACTTCGGTTGTTATTGTCTAAACTTCAGTTATATATGATTGAAGTTCATTACTTTATGCTTAAACTTCAGTAGCATGTACTTGAACTTTGAACAAAAATGACTAAACTTGAATCATTCAAACTTGAACAACAATTGACTTAATTTCAGAGATGTATTACATATGAGTTTCTAACTAAAAAGTACTAAAATATTGTATAAACTTCTTGCTCAACTCTAGGTGTAAAAAAATGGACCACTTAAGTTAGATGGAAATCTAACCACTCTTTAATTTATTGATAAATGATAACTACATTTCTGGTGTTGCTGACATTCTTACATAGGCTAGTTTCTGTGGATGAGAAACATTTTCAAAGGGTCCTTCTCCTTCCAGAGAAAGGACAAATTAAAGTGGTCGATCAAAGAAAAAAATTAAACTAAAGTGATCGATCTCTTATATCTAAAAAATTCATTTCAATTTTGATAATAATATATATTCAACGGTAGTAAATTTTAAATACTAGATATGATAATGAAAAAGCATTGTTGAAAATTGAATAAGCACAAAAATAACTTCACACTCGGTAAATTCTCTAGAATAAGCAAACTAATATAACATATTAAAGCAATAATGTTATTTAACCTTTGAATAATCGATTAAAATTTACGTGTGAAGTTACATATTTTGTATTCATTGATTCAGTAAAAAACACCCGCGTAAAGCAAAAAAAAAAAAAAGAAGGTTGTAGTAGTCGTTAATATATAAATACAAACCAAAACCCAACAACTTGGTGTCGTAGTGTAGTTGGTTATCACGTCAGTCTAACACACTGAAGGTCTCCGGTTCGAGTCCGGGCGACGCCAGTTTGGGTTTTTTAAATTTGTTTTACTCGATTCACGATTTTCAAATCTTAAACCCGAGCTTAGTGTTTTTAATACACACGTTATTATGATGAAAATAAAAATTGTGGGTCGGGACCATTTATACAATTATTTTGAATTCATGATCAGATCAAGTGTCATGATCTTTTTTTTTCCCTTTGTTTAACCAATAATGTGTATGCTAGGGTGTTCGAAATGATGACAGATTGCTTTCAAAACTCTCATATGACTGTATTGAATATGACTTGAAAAGAACATAGAGAAATAGCACAATATTCTTTCTGCAGCTGTACGTGTTTTTATCAGTGTCTTTTTAACGTACACAAATAATGGAAATTGAAGTGTCATTTTCTTCAACTAATGGAACCAGTATTTTCTAGAATAGGAGTTTTTTCTTCGGATGATTATAATGTGCAAATGTCAGAGAGGACAACAGAGGCCGCATAAATGATAAACACCCTTCACGTTCAACTTTGTTTTAAATATCAGAATAATATTTTATGCATTTTTATGTTAATGTTTGGTGTACCAACTAAGAGCTGTTTGGATGGACTTAAACATTGCTTCTTCTTTTTTGGGAGTGTTTGACATAATTCAGAGTAACTTTCAAATTAAGTGGTTTGAACTCCTTTTTGTTTCTTACTTGGTGTCTTTTATCTATGTTGGAGTCCGATTAATTTGGATTTGCGATGAAAAGTCTTACATCTGAGGATAAAACGCTCTCTAATAAAGGCGACTCTGTACTTAAGGAAATTCAATGAGAACACTCTACAAGTACTTAGCAATTCCACCACAATACTTGTTTGTAACTCGACTCGTTATAGCTTAGCAACTATATTGCTTAAAAGCTACTTAAATTCGGATTCAAACGGCTCTTCTATTTTCCATCTTTTTTTTGTGGTCAACATCAGTACTAAATTTGTCATGAAAGATCAACAGGAAATTTAGAACAATGTTATGAAATAGTACTAATAACTTTAAAAGAACAATCTTTGTCATTGTAATAAATATAATCAATAATAATTGTACAAATTTGTATAATTGAAAAGTCAATACAAACAAAAACAAATTGGTGGAAGAAAAAAGAGAAACGCCTCTTCGTCCTCTAGTAAAATGCCCAAACTATAGCAAAACTTGAGCTTTTTTAATTTTTAAATTTTTTTGGAGAGGGCTGATCTCTCTGTATATACTATCTTCTGCTGTTTTCTTTTTGTATATATATATTTTTTACACAAGTATTTTATACATCTCTTTTCTTAAATCCCCTGTTATAAAAAATGAAGGGAATTTTTGGTAATCTTTTTTTTTTTTTTTTTCATTTTTTATATTTTTCAGTTGGATTAAAAAGTTGAGATGCATCTTCTGTGTGTTGGAACTTTTTGCTTTTTTTGTTTGAGATCTTCTTTGTAAACTTTTCCAATATCTTGTGCAATATTTATAGCATCAGCAGAAGCACCAGCTAGCCCTTTCCTTGTAAATCCAATTGCATATAGCCCAGATTTTCCTTTCCAATTATTTGGGATTTGTGCTTTCGGAAATCCATTATTGGAGAAAAATTCACTTTCCTGTATCACATAACAAAAATTAACATTAGCACACTTTTCAACAACAGTTGAATAGTTCGAGCTATGTTGCACAGACTCTTAAAAAAAAATTGACAAGTACACATATGATAACTCGAACTTTTCAAAATTATTGTTCATACACATCTAGCAACATTTTTTAAAAGTTCGAGCAATTGAGCTTCTTTCATTTTATTGATATATATAACTTAAATTCGGTTAGAAACTTCCGAAGCTGTCAACGTTATTGAAAAAAGTTCCAGAAGGAATGTGACATTGTCTCACCTGTAGCCAGTAAGGAACATTGCTGCAGTAACCTGTAGCAAGAACAACAGAGTCGATTTCTAGCTTTTCGCCAGTGACAAGTTCAACGGTGCCACATGAAAATTTTTTGATTCCTGGGACAACTTTAACTTTTCCAGATCTAATTTTTTCCAAGGCACCAATATCTAAAACTGGTGTTTTCCCATGTTTGTTCTTGAGTTCTAATGGTCCAATTGATGGCCTTTTTAGTCCATAATTCTCGATATTTCCCAAAATAAACCATGCAAGAATAAGTAGAATTTTGTCAACTAGCCAAAGAGGCAGCCATTTCATCATTAACATAGCTAGCTCAAATGTTGATTTTCCACATATTTCTCTTGGCAAAACATGAACCTGAAGAAAAAAAAACAGAGCAAAAATTCATTAGTAAACAGAGTATATACAAAGAGTTAGAGTCAGTGTGTTCTGTTTTTTTAAAAAAATGTTTACCCTTTTTAAACTAGACACAGTAAGTCGCGGTGGACCCACTGCGTCTTAACTAAAAATTACCGGGAATATTGAAAAATCATTAGAATTTCAAAAGGATCAAATTTAAATTCTGAATTCGTCTACTGCTTACCGAGCTACGACAGACAATTGATGGTTGAGCACCATGATTTGAAAGATCAAGTGAGACTTCCATTCCAGAATTACCACATCCAACAACAACAACTTTCTTCCCTTTATAATTTTTCCCTGATTTATAATCACAAGCATGAATCACTTCACCTCCAAATTCTTTCAATCCTTCAATTTCAGGCACAACTCTCTCAGCATTTTCCCCTGTGGCTACGACAAGCCACTGGGAAATGTACTCAACTTCAAAGCCGTTAGGTGAACTAGTTTTCACCCTCCACACTCCGCAAGTTTCATCGTACTTAGCTGATTGAACACACTCGTTGAATTGCGGGTTAATGTCAAAGTGTTTAGCATATAGCTCGAGGTATTCGATGAATTGTCTCTTAGTTGGATACTCAGGGAAGTGATTTGGGAATGGGAATTTTGGTAATTGGCAGAATTTCTTGGGGAGATGGAGCTTTAAACGATCGTACGTTCGTTTTTGCCACAGTGATGCGATACAGTCAGATCTTTCTATAACGACAAATGGAACTCCTTGTTCTCGTAAGCAAGCTCCTACAGCTAGTCCTGATGGACCTGCACCAACAATTACAGGGCCATTTACCCAAACACATCTACGAGAAACGGAATCTTGTTCTGATGAGAAGGTAAACATTTTCGTATGTTTTAAGTGAAAATAGTGAGCGTTTTTGTTTGTTTAAAACGAATCGGAGCAACAGAAGGCCAAACAGAAAACTTTGTTGTGTAGAGAGAATAGAAGTATAGATGGAATTTGTTTGTTGAAGAGAGATGGGGTGTAAAGGGCATTATATAGAAGATTTTAAATTTTTTATTTTGTTCTGTGGCATATGAAAGAGGCATGTGACAGTTAATGCATTTTGACGGGTCATTCTCAAATCATAAGCTATCATAATAATTATTTTATTTCATGTTACTTAATTAATGTTACTAAAATATTGATTCCATTTTTTTATACTGGGGTTTAGCTTCTGGTTATTATTTCTTTTGTTTAAGACCTTTATATTTTTTTTCTCTCTGTTGTAACTTGCATGGCTGACTGAGTTAGTGTGGTTTCACCCAAAAAAAAAATGCATTATATATTTAAGATAAAAGTTATTGTTATGATTGTATAATTGTTGAGTTCCTGAAAATTCTAATTTCGTTATTGACAACAATCGTCCAAACGTAACAGAATACAATGCATACAAATTATTCAAGCAAGTGAGCTTAATTTTTTTTTTCACATTCTGAATTTCATTACTCTGTAATTAGTTACACTAATGTTTAACATGATGGTAAGTAGGTGACAGAAATAGTAATTAAGTGAGTGTACAAAACTAATGATGGTTAATGCAGTACAGACAGTTAGAAGCAGGTCCCTTGCTTCCTATCAAGGGGAAATGCATAACTTTTGTCCTACTAAAAATTATACTAAATATATAAAATCAAAGTTATTTTCTAAAAAATTATGAATAGTAAACGTTGAATTTTCTTAATAAAATTTTTAACTCTGTTATTCGCGACAACTATCTAAATAAAATAGAATGCGTGCAACGTATTCATATGGGTGAGCTTAATTTTCTCCACATTCCTTTTAATTGTATACACTATTATTAGTTATTTCTCCGTTTTATTTTACTTCATTCTTATATCAATAATAAATATTTCATTTCATTTGTCTATTTACAAATTAAAACAATTCTATCTCATACTGTATTAAATGACTTCATGAAGTAATAATAGTCAAAAAAATTAAAATTTCATGTGTCATTAATAAAGTTAGATACAACATATTGCAGAAAAAGCTTGATTCGAGATATTAATAAAATATTTTCATTTTTCAAGAATAAAAAAATTTTAACGCGTTCAGTAAAATATATTTTTAATTAAAATTTTTTTAAGAAATGTGTGTCATGTGATTATAAGTATATAAAACGAAAAAAATATATTATTTTAATGTGATGGTAACTAAGTGACAGAAAGTTAACGATAGCACTAATTAATTATGTAAGTGTACAAATTTTAATAATGGTTAATGTATGGTACAAATTTAAATTTAAACAGCTAGCTTTCTTGCTTCCTATTAAGAAGAATTGCATTATTTTTGTCGTACTGAAAATAACTAAACATGCTTCTTCCACTTGCAAATTTAAAGTGAATAATAAATGATTAAACTGACCCTACTAAAGATCACATAAAAATCATTAAATGCTTACGTGGCATTTATAATGCTGACTAGGATAAACCAACAGAATGCCCACGTGGATAGGGTGTTGAACTGTTAAGATTTTATCTTAACCCAATCTCTATCTCTAATGGACCCTCTGGTCCCAACAGAAGTAGACTCCATAGGCCCATCTGAGATTGTAACTATTTGGACCCGAAAAAAAAAGCCCATACCTTGCCAGCTGAAAAACACTTGCTACTTCCATGCCATATATTGACCCTCTCTCCTTTATGTCGGAATCGCCGTAATTTGTAGAGACAGAGTCAGAATATGAAGTTAATGAGTAAGAAAGATGTCTTCTTCTAATTGGCAAAGGATGAGTCAATTTTCAATGCAATGTATTCGTGGAAATTCATCATTGAATCATTATTATGTTCACAATCAACTTGTTTATGTACAGTTCATTGGTTAATATTATTATTCAAATATATGATTTTTTTTTTAAAATGTAGGTTCCTTCGAATTGTACCTAATATTATAGATCAGTCGATGAATAATTTACAAGTGGATTATAAGGTTGGAATTTATATATGGTTTTAAGTAATAATTAATGGTATAATATAACTCGGTAGATGAGTATATATAATTTGTGTTCTAAAAAAAATAAAAAAATATACGAGGTATAGTATAAAAGTTGATAAAATTATAACTTTAATATTGGATTCAAGGTGAAGAAATGAACTGCCATCAATAAAGTGAAAATTCATATAGTCAACCAACCAACTCAATTACTAATATTCTCCGTGAAATAAATGTTAGTTAAGTAAAACATATCAAAATCGAGTATAGACAATTTTTAGAGATATATCAGAATATGAAGTTGATGAATAGCGAAGATGTCTTTTTCTAATTGTCCAATGACGAGTCAATTTTGTATGTGATGAATTCGTGGAAATTCATCATTGAATCATTATTATGTTCACAATCTACTTGTTTATGTATATTTTAATTAGTTTAATTTTCTTATGCTAATAAAAGATCAAAAATTAAAATCTAACAACCACCTAATATTATTAGCTCAGTCCATGAATAATTAACAAATAGATTATAATGTTGAAGTATATATACGGTTTTTAATAATACTGATATACTCCATTGTTGAGTATAGTACAGATAATTTGTGTTAAGAATAAACAGATATACAAGGTATATTATAATTAATTGTATTTCAAACGGAGCAGTATATATAACTAGGAGATCAACTTAACATCGACTTCATTACTGCTCTTTTTAAAATACAATTAATTACTATTAAAATACTATTTAAGAATCGTGATAAAAGATTTTTGATTCCCAAGAACATCAAACAAGTTGTGATGTAGTAGGTATTATAAAAAATATTATACTATCTATTTGAATTATTTTCTCATAGTTAAATACGAACTGAATTTGCGAATATAATTATTAACTAATTTTCTCCCCGCAATAAAAAATAAAATATATATAATGTGTGAATATAAATTTAATTAATCTGAATATTATATGAACACCAAAATCTACTTCGTCATCGTAGACGATCTAGACCAAACATGAAAAGACGTTGCCCATTCTTTGTAACTAATTAAATTTATCCCAAAAATTAGTCTAGAGAGAATCAGAATTATATGGCTCGATTTTCCAGATTTTGTTTAATCAAAGAAATCACAATCAACAATTTTATTTTTTTTTGGGTTTATCTCAGGAAATTAGCTTTATTATCAATCATGTTCAGCATATGCAATGTATTTAAATGAAATAATTACTGTCAAAACCCTACAAATAATGCTCTTAGCTCAGAATCATGATTACTGGTATTAATTAGAACCAGTACCTAGCTAGCTATTTAATGGAAGTCCTTTATTAAAACATACGTACGTTGAGGCTCCTGCTTGCATGCTTTTAATTAGTTGGTTACTTAATTAGTTTTGGATAAGACTAGTAAAATTAATTCATAAAATATAATTCGTTTAATTAATCTGTTTGAATTTAAACAAGTTATAACTAATTTATTCATTTATTAACTCATTTTATTTCAAATTGTAGGCTGCAACTTGCTTGTATGCATGAAGCTAGAATTACTAACAATTTCCATAAAACAGTTATTTTGATCGACACAAATTTAATTTAACTCGTTCATTTAACGTCTTAATTTTACATTATTTTAAACAAGGATAAAGATTTATTATTTGAAATGATGTATAAAAAATAACTAATTTCAAAATTAATTTCATACCATTTAATTGAAATAAAATTACATTTTGAGATAACTTATTTTCAAATCGTAAAGTATAAAATATTCCATGTTGGAGAAAGGAAAAATAAAATGGCGTTGGAATGAGCAGTAGCATCATTCTTCCAACTCAGCTTGTGGCCAGTGGCCAAATCCCCAAAAAAAATAAAAATTGATAGTAGTAGTTAATAAGTTATAAAAAAACAAAGGCCTATATATATATTATTATTTAGGAATTATAGAGATTGAAAAGAAGGTATAGAGATAAAATTATAGTTGATAGGACATGTGTTAATAATATAATAATTCAGATTTTCCCCACCAGCTTTGGCCAGCTTGTGAGCTGATGATCTGGAGGCCAGGTTACTACTTTTTAGAATATTATTTTTTATATTGCTACGAAATGAAAAATAAGAAAACGTTTTGTTATTTATTTTTTTCGTGTTTCTCATTTGTTTCCGTCTGTTTTTAAAAATAATTTAAACTTATAAATAAATGTATCACACAACTCAATTTGGTATCGAAAATAGATAAAGGTCTTGAATAAAAATATTATATTACCTGTCACTATAAATAAATAATTTTCATATATTTGACATAAAAAAAAAGAAGTTCATAAAAAGTGTTAAAATAGGATTTTAGTTAAGTAAAATGCAATTGCGAATTTTTATAGAACTTTTCGATAATTGTCCGTGTGGGACATTACGAAGCAAGCTCCACGAAGATAGTGAAGAAAATCTTTAGTGGTATTTGGTAACTATCTAATTAAAAATAATATAACAATGAAAAAAGGATTAGATATTAGATATTATACAGGGAAAAAGTTTGCTTTTCATTAAATCTATAATTAGTGACTTTTAATCATGCTTAAAGTTGGAGAAAGATGGTAAAACTCATGATTAGCATATGGCATGATGTAATGCATGAGTATATATACTTCATGCAACTTTAGTGGTAGCTGATATTGATATTTGTATTGTGCTCAATTACATTTGAATTTACATTGAAAAGTTTTTAAAAAAAATTATGACGTGACTTCAAATATAAATTCTTTAGAGATAAGAATAAAAATATTTATCATTTCATCGCAATCCTTATTTGTCCTGAAAGTTTAGCTATCACGATTTTCTTATTTTTCATATATGCGTTTGACATAAATTTCAAATGGTTCTTTCACTTTGAAATTTACATAGTTGAAATTAAAGAGTGTTTCAAAATATTTTTTGCAAGAAAAATATTTGGAATAATATTTATGTTGCAAACACTACTTAAATACAATCATCTCTAAAGTGAAAAATGAATTGACAAAAAAAAAATTGTGAGTTGTGTTCC